AAATTCAAGTTGATGACTGGAATTTGAATTCAGACTCAAAATGGTATGCAAATCCTGCAGCAAGGTAATCTTATTACATTTTGTACTGGGCTGCAGAATATTGAGTGGGACAATTCTCTACTTTAAAAATTATAGACTAATTACACCAGAGCCATAAAATGTTAGCATCTTTATTATTGTACTCCATATAGTACTGTTATTCGTACTGCAGAAGAAATATTTCCATGGAACACATCAGCCTTGACAAGTAACTTTCCTTGGACTAAGATTGCTACCTCAAAAACAAAAACGTACCAAATCTAGATACTGTCTATCTTCACTGAATTTACTATTGTCAAAGATATACATCAGCCACATCTTATTCAGTGTATAAACCTTTTCTAAAACAGCTACTGTTAAACAATTAAGTAAATTACATTTTTAGATAAGTCTCACAACAATGATACTACCAATGTCATACAGTGGCAGGTACCATGCCAGGATTAATAATACCTTTGTTAGGTAAACTTCATAGTCAATATAGGATTATGTACAATTAGAAACATTTTACATTCCCTCAGTCAAAATTCATTATGTAATTTAGCACACTAATCATTTGGTTAAACTATTTCATTTTTAAAAAGTCACAGCACGGAGTTCTTGGATCTTTCATTCCTGCATTGACTAAAAGTGAACCAAATGCAGGTACCTTGAATAGCAGGCGAGAAGTTAACCACTGAACCACTTATGCTCTAGATCAGTGTTTCCCAAATTGGTACTCCGGGGAACCCTGGGGATCCGTGAAGTGAAAGCAAGGGTTCCACAAAGAGCCGGAACTCCCCTGCCCCCTGTTAAAGAGACAGAACCATGGCGAGGGGTTTTTTTTTCCTCTTTTTTTCCCCCTCAATGAAACACGGAAGGGGCTTTTTTTTTTTTTTTTTTTTTTTTTTTTAAGGCAACTCTAGGGGTTCCGTGGCCAAATGGAATTGGGAAACACTGCTCTAGATGATAACTGAACAGAATATGACTGCATTTAAAAACAGAGCATTCAAAAGTAGTATAATGAAAACTTTAATCAGAAATATAGCCTTTACATGAAATATCTAAGACTCCAGGTATAATTTAAGATGCTCAACCGTTTGAAATGAAGAATTAACTGAAATAATGGGAATAAAACTAAATACTGACTAACATATATGTCCAAAATCTCTAGACAGAACTTGCTGAAAACTGAATAAAGGATGAGCCTATCTCTGTCATGTACCAGAAAATAAACCCAGACAATATTTTGTACTTGAAAAACAAAAACTTGACAAATTCTAAGTGGTACAAATTAAAAAGTATATTAGCCCTGTGTCTAAAACTCTACTGGATTGACCAAAGACCGAAGAAACAGACTTGTACCCAGAAGAGACAGGAAATATGACGCCCGGCGCGTTCCCTCCCCCCCCCCCAAATATAAGAGATTTGATGGTCACCTCTACTTCAGCCTTTTTATGCCAGGTGAAAAGCCTGGAGTTGCATAAATGGATCTTAGAAGTACTGAACACTGTCAGATACAGATTCCTACAGCACAGCTACAGTAGAAGATATATATAAGGTTGCATGTCAAGGATGTCATGGCAAGTTCTAGTGAAAAGGGTATTCCAAGACATAGCTAGGGATGGCATCACAAAACAAATACTTCAGAGATTCTGGGCAGCACAGAGAGTGTTCCAGAATCTACCTCAAACAAAGGGTTCCCCTAAGAGCAACCAGAGTCAGATGGCCACATCTGTTGTTCTGAATTGCAAGGCCTAACCATCACTTTGTGTGAACTTCTGCACTGTACTCTTAGAACTTGTATACCCTGTTTTAAAAGAAAAACTGGTAATGATATTGAACTCTAAAAGTGGGACTCAAAGAAAGTATGTGCAAAATGTTCAATTTACTGGACAGTAATGAAGAAACCAAATGATGTTCCTATTTGTAAAAGTAAATAGTCTAAGTTCTGCAGATCTGAAGCATCTTTATGGGTGTGACAAACACTATGCAACACTCTGTTCGTTCAAATAATGAATGGAGGAACTATAAGTTCTGGAGTGGCCCAGTTAACCAATGACAAAGGCAAAAATACTCAGCAATACATCTAAGTCTCTGCACCAGACAAGGATATAGAAATTACACTAAAAAATACACTGCTTTCTTCAAATACACACATTTTATCTCTTTAGCAGTTGGATAGTCCATTTTTGTTACGGCAACTTTTTTTCTTATTTAAAATATGAATTAAAATTCATTAGAATAGGGCTGTCTGAAGTTGTTTGCTGTTGACTCAATGATAACTGCTTGCAGATTAAGATAAGACTTACTTGAGAAACAGAAAGCAATCTCAAGTCATAATGTTTGAGCACCTTCACTTTCTCTCGCATGATTTCTTCCTAAATTTTCCAACTGTAAAAAGTTTAAGCTTAGTAGAAAAGAATACTCTAAAAATTACTCACCTACTGAATCATCATTCGAGTAATTCTCTGCTTCAGCACGAACTTCTGTAAATCAAATTTTTCAGCAATTATATATAATGTGTCTGTTTTCAAAACTCTTAATTCTGCATGTATTTTTTTAGTAGTAACTATTTATTTAATGCTGAACAGATTATTTTTAGGGCTTGTAGGGAGAAAGAAGATTTTGCTAGGGGTCTGTAATGGGGACACTGAGCCTAGTTTATATTTTAAAATGTGCGTGTACATTGGTCATCCATTTTGCAGTAATGAATACCTTTCACCTATTTATGTACAGTAAAACAATTTTAAATTAAATATATTGTACTACCAGAATTCCCTCTGAAGAATCTTGCACAGGCCTCTGTCAGAAGACAGCATACTGAGCTAGATGAACCAGTGGCCAGACTCAGCATGACCATTCTTATGTCCTTATGTATTCAAAGCCAAAAAATATCAAACAGTGAGGCTGAGTGACAAGAGGTATTACATATATTATAGCAAAGGTATTATTACAAAAATGTAAATACTAAGAGCTTCAAAAATAGCATGCATTGTAATACTGTTAACCTTTGCAGAACAAATCTGGTGACAAAAAAAATTAGCTCTTATTATAATTATAGAACAGGACTGCATTTTATAGCAGTCTTAGTCCTTATGTTTCACAACAGAAATATTATATACAAAAATTAGGAGTGTAGAGATTTATTGCAGAAGAGTGTCTACACAAACCTGTTTCCTGAGTTTCATCTGCCACATTATCTTCTATATGCTCTTCTTTCTCTGTTGCAAAGAAATTAAAAAATGTTACAGTTTTAGTATTGTGTGCCTAAGTTTACTTATGTGACACTAACTGCAGACACAACAGACAAGTGGGTATGATACTAGACATTACTTATTAAAATCTCTTATGAGCAATAGTTTTAATGCCTCTTCACAACAAGTATCTTTTAATCTATGGCAATTTACTGAAAAAGTTAAAATAATTGTAATGTGAAATACCAACTGAAATATACACTTTCAGTTAGTTATATTAGAACAAGATTTTAAGTTTACTAAACAAACATTTTCATAAGGTAGAAAAAAAGCTACAGTAAAGTCTTGGTTATCTGACCTAAATGGGACCGGAGGATGGTCGGATAACCGGAAATGTCGAACAACAGGGACAGCGGCAGCC